TCTACTGATGCATCTATAAATGATGTCTCAATGAGTGATTTATATCCTCGGTAACTAACAATAATTGACATATTCATCATTACAAGTTATTTTCCATATACTTTTGTTTTTATTGTTGAACTGGAATTACCTTTTACGAACACTTGTTCTTGTTCCATGACTTGTATTGTCAATGGCTTAATTCTTCACAATTCAAAAATACATACATACATACATACATACATACATACATACATATGTATGTATGTAAGTATGTATGTATGTATGAGATAAGTAGTTTGTTGAGAATGAATATAAGAAGTTCAGATGTCAAAAGGGCCCAAAAAAAAAAAAGCAGTTGGGACACAAACTTGATCTCTCAAGGGGTAATAAATATCGATGGCCGCAGGAGTCTAAAATCATAGCGAAATAGATGGATCTGAGAACTTGTTTGTGCCAAACTAGTTACTTGTTTTTTTGGAGAATAGGTAGTTGAAAAGAAGGAAAAAATTTCGATTAACGTATAATATTATTTTATTGAAGAATGAGTGGTTAAAAAAATGTATTATAATTTTAATTGGGGCTTAAACATCTACGTTCTATTCAAACTTGGTTAATCTCTTCATTTCTGTTAGTTAAATATATCGAAAAATCTGACATGCACTTTAACTTCGAAGAAATGTTGAGATGAATAATTCCCTGCGTACAAGGTATTATTCATAGAAACCACACCGGTGCGCAGGGTATTGTATGGTGTATTTTCTGCCACTATTGGATCCAAAACCAATGAAAAATTACTAAGTGTTCTGAAAAAATTTGTATCAATTTTTTTCTGTACGCGCAGCATAACTGATGTTAAGATAGCATCCGACATAGAAAAAATGTTGTTGTGTTGGCGTGTGTCGTGGCGAAAATATTGTTATTTGTTTCAATTAAAAAAAAAAAGACGACCAGCTTCCATGTTTGCCATCAAAAATGTGAAATTGAATTAAAAAATTAAAAATTAGAAGAAATGAAACCTGTAAATAAAATCACAGAGAAGTGGTACTGAGTACATGTGTGTGTGAAATATAACATAAAAATTGCTAACTAATAAAATGGAAGGCACCCTTTCAACTCATTAACTTTCACCTGTAAATTCTCGTGTGACTATTTTAGTTTCCCGCAATTGAATCATCATGCGAACGGCGTCCAAATCATCAAAATAAGAGCGTAAGACGGATTCACTCCAGCATCAACTCCTCTTCTCGACGTTAAACAACAAAACTCGAGTTCTTCATTCCACTATATGAAGATCACAACATTGGGTTCCTCATCGAAACTTGGAGCTCTAAAAATTCTTCAACATAAAAACAGGTGGGCTGTCGTGTCTATCTCTGGAATCAGTCATTGTACGTATCAAACACCAGTGCGAGTTCTTATTAATTCTTCTTCTCAACTAACACCAATTGGCTTCAATTTTATTTTAATTAGAAATTAGATTTGATGCTTATAAGTCCTTCGACTGCATTACAGTACTTCTGATTAGCTTGGGTTTAGATTTTAAAAAATTAATGAAATTGTGAGAACTTTTACTAGTTCTCGTATCCAAATTGGTATCAAGTGGAACTAATGATTTGTTGATCTCATGTTCACGTAATGACGATCGATGTTTATGAATTATCCAACAATCTCCTAATTAAAAAAATAAAAGAAACCCTGACTAAGAAAATGACTAAATTAACCTCCTAATTAATTAGGAGTTTTGTTGAACAAATCATAAATAAAAAGGACTTAAAATTAACTAAATAGAAATATGAAATAGGCAGTAAACAAGCAGAATAATCATCCCAACAGCAGTTACAGGTTTCAGCCTCCTCCACACGTTGCTTAGTTGTTCGACTTCCGGTGCTCACTTTTTTGCATAGTAATGTCGCACTTGTGACACTACATCATCCTCCCTAGGTTGGAGAAGATTCGTCCTTGAGTCTTTCTTTGTGTCATTGTCCAAAGTCTTCTAATGGCGGCCGTTAGGCTCCATTTTTAGCCCGGTATATTGCAAGCATATCAATGACGGCATATTCATTCCCCCGTATCCCTGACATGTGAAAAATGAGTTGGTTAACACATTTGAAGATTCCATTCAAGCATTTTTGGATCCAAAAATTCAAGTGAGCACAGGCGACCGCTCAATATAAGGAAAAAAATTCAAAGGAGCTAGCACCGCGGGCGGCCGAAGGGGTTTGCCGAGTGCCGGTTCCGCCCCTTCGTTCAAGGGCGTGACGGCCTTGATTTTGAACAGAGGCTGTGAGTTGGTTATTTGTGATATTATTCATCGATTTACTTGAGTTTTAATATACTTGTTGTTAAATAGTAAAACTAAAGGCAGACTTCGAGTCATTAATATGATTTGTTGACTTGTAAAATAATCCGACCAACTAAGTTGGCAATTATGGGTATCGGGCTAGACAATCAAGCCCATGTCGTTCTATGGTAGACCAATCCATGAACCAATTTAAAGAGAATGGTCTGATTTCGATCTTGTTTTTTAAGCAAAAATTAGGATGACAACCAACTTTATAAAAGAAAATTGAATCAAATAAGTATTGACAAATAATGTCCTTTATATTATTTTTGAATCATTTTTCAACTAAAAGAACGGATTCTTGATTTTTAATTTGTCCGGTTGTTCCTATACTTTCAAAGAGAATGATGGAAAGGTCAAAAAATGAAGGGTTTTTATTTTTTCATTGGAAAGGGAAATTTTGAAGAAAATCATGATTCGAGATTTGGATATAAGGAAATAACAAGTGGTAAATGCATGCACGAAAGTCAAAGAGTCACACATTGGAAATTCTATTTTCTTTTTTAAATTGATATAAAAATTCTAAAATGTGGAATAATAAAAATGTATTATTTATTAAGAATAACTTAATTAATCAAATTTTATTTTTTTATTTATTGTTATTTTTAAATTTTAAATTAATGAAAGTTAATTTATTTTTGACCATTTAACTTTTCTCGATTTATTGACCAGTCATACCTTGACACATACTTATTTTCTTACGAAACCATCTTCAAGGACGTCGTTCGATGATTTATAGTTTGCTATTTTTGCAAACATTGGGGACGAAATAAGAAATTTATTCTTTATAATACCACCAAAAAGGCAAAATGCAGAGTATGAGAGTACAGTACTCCCTCTTTTACTAGCGATCTCTGTAAACACTAGCACCAAGCTCTCTCTCAAAATCCCTGAAAAGAAACCCGTAGAACCCGAACCCGAACCTACCGCGGCTCAAGTTAACAAATTGCCATCGTATATACCAGCCCCTAAGAAACCCCAATATCAGCCCTCAAAACCTCCAATGGTTTCGTCTTCTG